ACTACTACTACTACTACTACTACTACTACTACTACTACTACTACTACTACTACTACTACTACTACTACTACTACTACTACTACTACTACTACTACTACTACTACTACTACTACTACTACTACTACTACTACTACTACTACTACTACTACTACTACTACTACTACTACTACTACTACTACTACTACTACTACTACTACTACTACTACTACTACTACTACTACTACTACTACTACTACTACTACTACTACTACTACTACTACTACTACTACTACTACTACTACTACTACTACTACTACTACTACTACTACTACTACTACTACTACTACTACTACTACTACTACTACTACTACTACTACTACTACTACTACTACTACTACTACTACTACTACTACTACTACTACTACTACTACTACTACTACTACTACTACTACTACTACTACTACTACTACTACTACTACTACTACTACTACCTACCTACTACTACTACTACTACTACTACTACTACTACTACTACTACTACTACTACTACTACTACTACTACTACTACTACTACTACTACTACTACTACTACTACTACTACTACTACTACTACTACTACTACTACTACTACTACTACTACTACTACTACTACTACTACTACTACTACTACTACTACTACTACTACTACTACTACTACTACTACTACTACTACTACTACTACTACTACTACTACTACTACTACTACTACTACTACTACTACTACTACTACTACTACTACTACTACTACTACTACTACTACTACTACTACTACTACTACTACTACTACTACTACTACTACTACTACTACTACTACTACTACTACTACTACTACTACTACTACTACTACTACTACTACTACTACTACTACTACTACTACTACTAACTACTACTACTACTACTACTACTACTACTACTACTACTACTACTACTACTACTACTACTACTACTACTACTACTACTACTACTACTACTACTACTACTACTACTACTACTACTACTACTACTACTACTACTACTACTACTACTACTACTACTACTACTACTACT